AGAGAGAGAGAGAGAGAGAGAGAAGGGGGGTGGGGAGGAGAGGAAAAATATGAAAACACCTCCCCTCCGAGGACCTGGGCACTTAGGACTTCATGCAGGCTGATTAGGAGTTTATACAGTCAGCCTTCTTTCTGTCACCAACCACTGGGAAGAATAAACAGACCATCCCTTTATGGGGAGATAGAGGCTCAGGAAGGTTAAGGCACCTGCTCAGGATCTCACAGCTTGGAAATGGCATGGCTTGTTATTTTCCCCACTCCACCCAGGACCCCTCTGGGCCATAGGTGTCCCGCCCCCTGTCTTTGCAGGCCCTGTCACCCCAGCTCAGGACATTTTTAGCCCTCTTCTGGCAGCACCTCTTGCAACATTTGATGTTGGGCATTGCTCCTCTGACATCTCCTTGGGTCTTATATTCTGCTCCCTCCTTCCCAGGCTCCTCTGGGGCCTCCTCTTCCCAAGTTTTTCCTTTAGCAAGACTGACTCTGCCTCAGACTTGCCACAGTTCAGCCATAACTGTGCTTCCTCCTTACCCCATGCCCTGTAACCATCAATCAGATATGGTCTATTCTGCCTCTTAGGTATTTCTGGAATCTAACCCCTGCCCCTTCCTCTTTCCTCACGCTGTGTGCTTCATCTGGTGTTACCTCTGCCCTTTGCTCTTTTGCATTCTACAGTCTTCTCCTCCCTCCTCTTTCTCTTTCTCCACCTCCTGTTTCTTCTCCTCCTCTCATCCCACCCCCCACACTGGAAAGCATAGAGAAAAACTTAACACTCTAAACATAGAGAACTCAACACACAGCTTTGTATAATCTTAATTTTTCCTCAATTCTTTTCTTTTCTTTTTTTCTCTCTTCTTTTTTCTGAAATAAAACATTACTGGTAATTTAAACCCCTTATATGTCCATCCAAATTTCAGTCTTCCTCTCTTCAGGGGTCACCAGTATCATAGTTTTTAAATTGCTCATTTTCATGCATGTCTCTATTTTGTGACTATCAGCTATCCATAAACTATGCATTATATTATACATATCCTTCTATGTCTTAGCCTTTTTTTCCCAATGGATGATTTCTCTTCCATTCTTAAACTCTTGTCTTTTAGATTTATTTTTATTTATTTTGTGCATATGAATGCTTCAACCTACATGTACGCTTGCGCACCACATGCATTTCTGGTGCCCTCTGAGATCTAAAGAGGACACTGGAGCCCCCAGGACTGGAGTTAAGATGGTTGTGAGTTACCATGCAGGTGCTGGGAACTGAAGCCAGTTTCTGCCAGAGCAGCTAGTGCTTTTGGCTGCTGACTTTTAACTTTTAACAATCATCTGTCCAGGAGTATGATTTCTTAAAATAATATTTTTAAATGATACATAATGATTGTATATGTTTGTAGGATATACTGAGGTGTGTGTGTGTGTGTGTGTGTGTGTGTGTGTGTGTGTGTACTTCATAGTGATCACGTTGGGGTAACTGACATATCCATCACCTCAAACATCTATGGCTTCCTTTTTGTTGGGGATATTCAGATCCTCTGTACTGTTTTGAAATCTACAATTCATTATTGTCAATCATAGTTACCCTACCACACTGTACAGAATATTAAAAATTCTTCTTTTCTTTCAACTGCCCATAATCTTAGTCAATAGTACTTTCAGGAACTTTTTGTTAATGGAAAATTTCAAACAGACAAAAGTAAAGCCATGCATTTTAGAGAATACCCATCACTCATCATCTAGCTCCAGCAAAAAGGCCACTTGTATGACCCACACCTTCCCACTGCCACCATTGTGCAGCAAATGCTATTTCTTCAGTCATAAGTATTGCAGCATGTTTGTCTAAAGATGACTTTGGAAGCCTTTCTCATTTATTACAGAAGTAGCAATTAATATTCTAGGTATCAACTCCAGAATATTTGTTACTGCAAATTTGGCTGTATGTAGACTATATACTGGGTGCTTTGTATTCTCAAATAAGCCCAAGAGAAAGGAAATTCCTTCTCACCCGGTGTCAGCCTTCAGATCTCACACTAGCCTTAATTTTCCCCTTTGATAGAGCACTGAGAAGCCCCCTTTAATCAGTTAAAAGCATGAGTTGCAAGTTACATGCCTGTGTCATCTCGCCCCCACCCCAGACTTAAGTTTGCCAGGATATTTTGCAAGTCACATCTAGGGGAGAAACGCAAGGCACCTGCTTTTTCTCAAGATCTTACCTGCCACTTTGCTGAAGGTGTTTATCAGCTGTAGTAGTTCCCTGGTAGAGTTTTTCTGGGTCACTTATATAAACTATCATATCATCTGCAAATAATGAAAGTTTGACTTCTTCCTTTCCAATTTGTATCCCGCTTGATCTCCTTTTGTTTTCTTATTGCTCTAGCTAGGACTTAAAGTACACAATTGAAGAGATATGGAGAGAGTGGACAGCCTTGTCTTGTTCCTGATTTTAGAGGAATCACCTTGAGTTTCTCTCCATTTAGTTTGATGTTGGCTGTTGGTTTGCTTTTATCATGTTTAGGTATGTTCCAGTTATTCCTGATCTCAGTAGCCCTACTATATACAGAAGATAAATGTGCTGAGAAAGAAATCAGAGAAACATCACCCTTTACAATAACAACTAACAAAATAAAATATCTTGGGGTAACACTAACCAAAAAAACGAGAAAGACCTGTATATTAAGAACTTTGAGTCTCTAAAGAAAGAAATTAAAGAAGATACCAGAAAATGGAAAGATCTCCCATGCTCTTGGATAGGTAGGATCAACATAGTAAAAATGGCAATCTTGCCAAAAGCAATCTACAGATTCAATGC